TTTGGACTTCTAATTTGATTGGTAAGATTATTTTTTGCCCATAAACCAATTTGAACAAGGTCAAATTGGTTATCACTTTATACAATGTATGATATTCTGTAAGGCTACAAATAATTTGGTATCCCAATCCATGCTTGCCCCCAAAATAGTCATAGTTAAGATCTTGCATAAAATACTATTGGTCTTTTCTATTTGCCCATTGGCTCTAAGATGATATAGAGTTGTTTTTCTATGCTTGATTTTGTACATGTTTGTCAAAGCTGTAATTGTAGAATTAATAAAATGGATTCCTCAATCACTAACCAATTCTTTAAGACACTCTTGTGTCAAAGAATGGAACTAGAAAGCCATTCAAAAGGTGATGTAATTTTTAACTAGAATGGCTATTGCCAAAAACTAGATGACTAGAAAGTCTTGGGAGAAGACTAAGGACTAAAAAGGCATTGAAAAAAGTGAAGAAGGCTTCACTCTTGCCTCCATATATACTCTTAATTAAGAGCTATGTGGCGATGTCCTATAGAACCTCTAAAATGTGTTGAATTTATAAGACACATATCTTAACTTATTTCTTTCAATTGCACAATTTCTTCACATTGACTCCAGACTTCTTCTATAGGTGTAGGATTATTATTTTGATGGTTGGCAATAGTAATGCATAAAATTTCCACCCTAGGATTATTAACAAGCTTGTGAAGATCTATAATAGTTGCAAATCTATTTTGACTTTGATCAAGTATAGCATCCATGATTTTTTCTTCCATATAAATCAACCTAAAAAATTCATAAGTTAAATTAGAGAAAGGTAATCTTCAACCTCTAATGTTAAATAAAAATTTCCATAAAGAAAGATAATCTACTTTTTTTAAGAAAAATAATTAATATTAGAAAACTAAATTATTTGTTAAAAGGTGGATAATTTGCGACCTTCAAAATATAATTATAGATATAGAATAATCCACTCACTTCTAAAGTAAGATAAGAATAATGAGTTATCTCTCTCATCAAGTTGTGAATGAAATGAATTTCAAAAAAATGAATCCTTGATACACTCTTATGTCACTTAAAAAGACTAAAAAATCACTAAAAGTTGGTAATATATTGAATTAGTATGGCTATTGCTAAAGACAAAAAGACTAGAAAGTCTTGAAATAAGACTAAAAATTAGAAAGGTATTGGTAAGATTAAAGAAGGCTTCACTCTTGCTTCTATATATACTCTCTAATTAAGAGCTATGTAGGAAAATTCTATAAGACTTCCAACATGTGTTGACTTTGCTAGAGACATAACTTAACTTGCAAGGGAAGTTATTTATATATATACCACATAATTAGCTTATTCTATAAGCTATTAACACATATGATACGTAATTAATTTATTGACTAAGTTTCTAACCTACCAATCAAATATGTATAAAGTCAAAACTGTATCTATGAAGCTTTTAGAAAGCTTTTTTAGAAGATACTATGAAATTAATTTATATTTATCTATTTCTACCTAATTATATATGCAATTATTAGAGTAAATATGTATATCTACAAAAATATTTGATAATATATTTAGAAGAATAAATAAATAAGTAAAAATAGATTAACTAAAGTTATATCTATTAATTAAATATATATATATATATATATATATGTATATATATAGCTAGGATTTAATAATAATAACTTATGCAAAATAATAAGTGAGGTGATTTTTACTTTGAGAGGTGAAGATCTTATGTTATAAGAATTTAATTAAAGCTAAGAAAGATGAAACAATCACAATTCACAAAAAAAAAAAATCAAACTTTTAGAAGTATTAATTTTGTATTTAAAAAATAAATAGCCTCATCTAACCAAATAGATATTTAATTAGTATTATTTATTTTTAGGTTTTTAGTCTTATTATATAAGTTATTAATTGTATACAAAATTTTAAGAAATAGAAGTCTATAATAAAATTATTTGTGTTGAAATAGACTATTTATCAATTCAAATTATTATTGTATACTTTTTATGAGAATTATCCCTAAAAACAATCTGTTTGGTTTAATTAGAAAATTTAAAATAAGAAGTGAAAAAAAATATTTTAATTGAAAAAAACTTAATCAAAATATGGTAGTTAAAACTTTTAAATGATCAATTTAAAGGACTATCTTTAAGGTTTGGGTTCTATTTTTGTATAATAAAATGGTAGAAATATATACATTTTGAATATGAAATATTAATTTTGATCAAAAAACTATATGGCATAAAAAATGATATAGAATCAATATAAAATTTAAATTAATTCATAAAATTAAAGACCTTTTAAAGGATTTTTAAAATATTCCTACAAGTAGTAATTAGTATTAGATAGGTTTGAGAAGAAAATTAAAATAATATTGACATATTTGAAATAAGATTTTGCTTGGTCTTGAGTACAAGAGAATGGTGGAAGAATGAGATAAATATTGCTAATTTAGTCACAAAAAAATTCATATATATATATATATATATATATATGTATATATATATCTATATATATTTAAAGATCAAAATAATACACCCATTAAATATATATTTTTTTCAAGAAACTCATTGTAATTTATTTTTTTTGAAGAATCTTGCTATAGTTAAATTGTAAACAAGTACAATACAAAAATGAAAAAACAAAAATTTGATAACCAATGAAAATCAACCACATTCAGCATGATAACCATATTGTGTAGATCAATTTAGTAAAATCATGGATCTATTTAATATTCCCCTTTAAATATCAAAACTATTATATAATAGCAAAAGTACTAAATCAAACATAATATAATTTTGTTTATAATACAATCAATCAATTATTCACAACAACTCTTACAAATCTAAGCACAAACAAGAATTTACAAGCAGTTTGCATCAATTTTGCATCGATTAGAAATGACAAAACGCACAACAACAAAGACAACTGCAACCATCACAGATGAGCAGTTTCCAGCCCAAGCCCCTTCTACCGATAAGGACTGCAGGAGGCATCCAGCAAAGGTAATTTGGTCCTGAAGTGATAAAATAGCATGCAGCCACTGTTGAACTCCACGGCACAAAATGGTAAAGCGGCACTTTAGTGTCTGTATTTGCGTATATATACACACACGAGTGCAGGTAAATGAGTTCGAGGGCATCAACCAAGTAGAAGGATGGGAAAGTCGAGTCAGCCACAGGATAAGTTTTGAAGTAAAGGGAATATCTATGCACAGATTCCACATCCGATCTGAATGCATATTTACACAGCGTGTAACGTTAGTTGTCAGTGGAAGATCTTGCACATGCATAATATCCCCAAATTCAGTCAGTGCCGAGTTCTGGGTTTTGGGAGAAGTTTCGGAGATGAATTGCGCACAAGATCTAAGTATATCTTGCATAATTAACGTCCTATCACCCACACTAATGATTTCTTAAGAACCCTCATGACCAAGTCCTCACTAGGGCAGTATAGAAAGCAGTTCAAGATTGATTCCCCACCGAGAAACCTTGGCACTATTAATGTCCTCGGATTCAAGACCATGTGCAAAATTGCACCCCTGTTTAAGTGTAACTTCCCGCCTGTAACTCTCGTGTAGTAATGTCACAACAAGAGAACATCATGTACTGAAATCTGCTGTCGCTATTACGAGACACTGCGGGAACGTTTTCAGTTTTGTGAGTAAGTTAAGTCAATGTTCAAGGTCCAATTTTTGCTTACGATATCAAAAAATAGTCGTTATCTTGTTTCGGTTTCTTGACAATACCAAGGCCTTCATCTCATTCCGCCATGCACTTCATTTCTTCAGGCTCCTTAATTTGGGCAGCCATGTAGAAACCGTGATTGATTAAGGAGGGATTATTATTACCAGAAAGTGGTTGCGGTGCGGTATAAATAGCTTTGAAAGGCTCGTGCCTCCCTTAAGGATTAATGCAGGCAATCCAGATTACAGATGCTTCATGTGCAAAGCACATTTTGGGATGCTAATCTGCAGAAATTCTCCCGTGTTCATTGGAAAGCTTGTCTTCACAGCACGTAGCTTTTGCAGCATGTGCGTTACTCCCATGTGTGCTTTGGGGGGTGCAGCAGCTGAGGTGTAACATTCGGGGGTGCAAAAAGATTCAGGACTGTTTGCAATTGGAATCCTAGAAGATGTGATGTTGTGTCAGTCAGCTGTCTGTCTATTTTTTCATTTAACTTCTCGAGGTTGAGAAACTGGGGCCTGTGTGACGAAGGATTGGGATCTCTCTCTAGTAACCGACCACCATTCGTAATTGATGGCCGACAACATCTGGTTATAAAAAGCAACTCGTGGACAGTGCGAGACACGTGACATTTACATGCCTTCCACGTAGCCAGTGTTGATTTCTGGCGCCGCTATCACAAGTAGGCCCAGTGCAATTTCATATAAATAAACTATCCAGATATGCGTCGGCAGCATCACACTCAGGGGTTCCTTCCCTTTTTGTTATGATGCTTTACTCGATTTTAGCAGTATTATTTATGCAGGAAAATTTGAACACACTACAACCATGTACTGCTACAGACTCTGTTGTGAAACAATTGAATGGATCTCATTCAAAAGTACCTAGAGAACTGATCTCCACTGGGTGGGTGGTTGGTTGATACGTTGGCAGTAAAAACATTGCGATGACCAATTTGAGTTGAAATACTGATTCTTAATCAGGGCATTCATGATAAGTAAACCGCCGTGAAGGTGAACAGTGGATACCTTAACAATTAGGAGAGTCTATTAATATGAAATGCCTTTACTTTCCCCTAAAAATTGGATACCCAACATGGCTTAGGACTCCGGGTTCGGGAGAATTACTTGTGTTGTAAAAATAACTCACTAGCAACAGGAAAGATGTTATTTATAATCACACGATGGGGCTGGCCCTACCAAAACAACGTCGAATAGGGGAAGCAGTACCCGCCCGTAAGATGGCACTGAATATACACGTGGGGGATAAGAATAAGGAATACGTTGTGTGCGTATTGCGAGGCGTGCATATATGCTGGTGTAACGAAGGAGTTAGCAGTGTGAGCCAAAGCAGAAACGTTTGAAATCTTTCTAGCCGCCGAGCATCATGTTCAGTTTTAGTGATGGTCAATGATGAGATCGATGAACGGGTTCCTTTACAGAAGTTAGCGTGACAAATGGCACTTGCTCTGCTTCCACTCCCTTGTTAAAGCATCTCCTGACTCTCCCATCAATCAGTTACAAATCATGTGGGCGGCTTGCTATCCTAGCGGGCACCGACCACTTGCTGGTTTTAATCACCAGAAGCTCCAGTCCAGCTTACGGTGCAGGGGCCGAAAATCGGTACTCCTCGGTCGGCGCTCCGAACTGAAGAGTTGAAGATGTATGAGTAGTCCCCTATAATAGTGAGCAGCTGTAGACAGCCGCACCTGCATTGCCAGTTTAAATGTCGAAGATTAGGACGTATAAATGACAAGATAGCACGCTTTATTGTTCCGATGAGCACTCAAACTCCGGCGCCGGAAGATTGTATCTGCTATGGACTGGGATCACCACGTTTGTTTGGGATGGAGAATCTCTGGGTCAAGTTTTGGTCAATCTCTGGTGTAAAACCCGAGATGAAGTCTCCTCCATTAGTCGTAGCAAGCAGCTTTCTTTAACTGAGCAGAATTTCACTTGTCAGCACAAAAGCAGAACCCAAGGTTGGTGACCTCGAGTTCAATTTAGTAGCAATTGTCAGTTTATATCGGCTTGGCAGAGAATATGTTCTAGTTGCAATGCTGTTTTTTTATGGCAAGTTTGTTGACTGTTGCATCGTGGAATGACGTCTTGGCATATCGGTTTTTAGGAAGCTAGCCCTGCGAGTTTCTCATGTAACTAATAAACATCTTGCAATTCAACGTCGCGAAGTAATACACAACACACCCATACGCACAGTGTTTGCAAGCTACATTGCAAACTATAGACATTTCTTCTGATCAGTTCTTCGCTCCATGTTTTTGTAGACATTGACGATTTCTGGTTGCTCCTTCAAGGCTGGTGGATCGTGATGGGGAAGCCAATGGGCATTGGAGTCTTGTTGGTGATATTAGTATTCGGTGTGGTAGCCAAGGTAGATTTTAAGTCCAGAATACTATTGGACTTCGCCTTCAGTTCAAGTCTTTTGATGCAGGCCCTACTTCTGGGTGTGTTCATTGTGATCGTAGTTAGCTTAAGAAGGGAGGGCCGTAACATGAATCTTCCACCATGCCCAGCTGCATTTCCCATCGTCGGAAATTGGTTGCAGGTCAGTCTCCAATACATCTCTGAACTTGGACAACCTATAAACCCTTTATACTGACTATAGGCTTCTTGGAATATTCTGTTTGTTTTCAGTCTGTCTCGTCGACAAACATTCAACTTTTGTTTTGTTTCCAAAGTACACACAAGGAATGTCTGACTTCTCCTTTTTGTGCCCTTCTTCACCCTGTCACTTGTCACTTTTCAACACTCATACCTCCACACCTCTGGCTGTGCAGGTTGGTAACGATTTAAAGCATAGGAAGTTGGCGGAAATGGCTCAAAAATACGGTGACGTCTTCATGCTCAGAATGGGTAGGAGGAGATTCGTGGTCGTCTCGTCTCCTGAAGCTGCCAAGGAGGTTCTTCACACTCATGGTGTTGAATTTGCATCTCGGACCCGCAATGCTGTCTACGACGTTTTTGCAGGGAAAGGCCAAGACATAGTCTTTACCAACTATGGCGACCACTGGCGTCGCATGCGGAGGATAATGACAGTTCCATTTGTCACTCACAAAGTTGTCAAGCATGCCCACTTTGCTTGGGAAGACGAGGTGGACCACTGCATTAGGGACGTGGAGGCTCGATCGGAGTCAGCAACCACAGGAGTTGTCCTTCGGCACCGGTTCCAGCTGATGATGTACAACATCATGTACAGAATGATGTTCAACTCTCGGTTTGCAGACGAGCACGACCCGTTGTATTTGAAGCTGAAAGGCTTGAATAGCGAACGCTGCCGTTTGCCAGCTCAAAACTCTAAGTACAACTACGCTGATTTTATTCCTATCTTGCGGCCATTCCTGAGAGGTTACTTGAAGGTGTGCCAGGATGTGCGAGACAGACGGCTCACGTTGTTCAAAGAGCGCTTCGTTGATGAGCGGAGGTAAGCAAAGGGTCTCAGTCACTGCAGAAACACACAACTGAATTGTACTGTATTCACACAAACTGGCTGAATTTAAAGCTGAAACCGACTCTGACATAATTTACTGCCTGGAAGTGCAGGAAGCTGGTGAATGCTGTTGGGGCTGCAGGTGCCGGAGAAAAGTGCGCCATAGACCATATCCTGGAGGCTCAAAAGAAGGGAGAGATCAGCGAGAACAATGTACTTTACCTTATTGAAAATATTAATATAGCAGGTCCGAATCTACTACTGAGTCCTTCAAATTGTAGCGGTTTTGTAGTCGTGATTGACTTCCACCTCCCTTAAAGTATAGTGAAACGAGCCTGCTCTTGCACCGACAACGGCTAACAATGAATGTGCCAATGTGTCCCATCTGTGCAGCAATAGAATCAACTTTGCTATCAATCGAGTGGGGTGTAGCTGAGCTTGTAAACCACCCAGAGGTCCAAAAACGAGTCCAGAAGGAGCTGGACGAAGTTCTCGGTGACGGTCACTTGGTTTCTGAACCTGACATACACAGTGGCAAGCTGCCGTTTCTCACTGCTGTTGTCAAGGAGACCCTGAGGTTGCACATGCCCATTCCTCTACTTGTTCCTCACATGAACGTGAAGCAGGCTAAGATTTTCGGTTACGACATACCCCCGGAGAGCAAGATTCTTGTCAATGCCTGGTGGATCGGTAACAATCCCAAGTTTTGGGATCAACCAGAGAGGTTCATGCCCGAGAGATTCTTGTCAGCGACCTCAGAAGCTACGACTGTAGATTTCCGCTTCCTTCCTTTCGGTGCCGGAAGAAGGTCGTGCCCAGGTTCTGCTATTGCCGTGCCTTTGTTGGCTATTGTGCTGGGGCGCCTTGTACAAAAAATTGACCTTCTTCCCCCTCCTGGGATGACCAAAGTTGACGTTACCGAGTCTGGAGGCCAGTTCAGCCTCCACATGGCCACGCATTCCACTGTTGTCACAAGGCCGAGAGCCTAGGATATCCTCTGTACACAAAGAAGAAATTCAAAATACATGTCTATTAACCTGTACAGAAATTTTCTAGGAATTCCCCAGCCTGTGCAGCTGAAAGAGGCAGCATCGTGAAATACAAATGTAGAAATTTACCATTGAAGAGCAGACGCCGTAGTTAACACCCCTTCCCTCTAGAGTCTCGCATTGCTGTTACGTGAGCTGTAGCAGGTAAGGTGGAAGGAAAGTCTGCTGGACCTGCAATTTGAGATATGCAGAATTCTTGATGCAACAGGCCAACGAGCTAGATTGTTGAGCAGGTTGTCGAGCATCACAGTTCACATCCTTCACCCTTTTGAACCATGTAAAGCCCAATGACACTGGTGTGCGTCAAATTGATTTCTGGCGCAATAAAAATGACGAGCTCGTGAGCTGACAATCTTGCTGATTCTGGCACATTCCGCTGGCTCATCCAACACCAGGAACTCTAGCCAAGCGAACCATGAAGATGACCTCGCTAGTCTCATCACTACTACTCTCATTATCAAGCTCGAACTCCACCTCAGTATGGAGAGTAATTCATGATCTGAGACATGCCCAGCAACAACACACTACCGGTGTGGTACTCTCTCTTTCTCTCAGTCCTGCCATATGCCTTGCATAAGACTGAAAAACTCTGCACTGAAGTCCAGTTTTGGTAACACTGAACCTGGAACTCTTGACTGGCATTGACGAATGTTCTAGAACCTTGCCCACAAACCGTTTTCAGAACAGTCACTAGTCAACAAATTGTATTGAAATCTCTAGAGAGCAGAACCCTTGTGCCTACAGATCAGGTAACCCAGTGTCAAATCTGAAGAGTCTTCATGTGATTTTGCAGCAGTGAGAGCTGTTTGGCAGTTGCTGTTGTCCTCCAACTGGGCTTGAAACTGAAAGCAATCATGCTAGACTTGCTTGTGTGAGTGTACTTGTGTGTGTTTGTGTTTAAGCACATCTTTATCAATATGAGTGTGTTCGTTCACCTGGGCAATCCTTGTACAAAAACTGGGTTTGGTGTGTAGCGTGATCGGTATCTAGACTCTGCTAAGAAAGGTTGCTTATAAGAAAATGACAGTGATGGGACTAATAATATTTAAAATAAAATTTGTTGTGGCAGCATCTGAATCATCGAAATATGTCCTTGTAAAACATAAACTTATGGTTGGGGAAAAGAGTTTTATCATGTTGCTTAGGGAATTTTGAACAATCCCTTTTTTTTTTTTTTTTTTTTTTTCCTTTTTGTCTTCTTTTTAAAAATTACAAGTTTATACATGTTTATGTCTTGAGAATATTAAAGTTATTGCAAATTTATTGGAAAATAGATCATGTTTGGAATGGGTAGAAGAATTTGTGGTTGAATGTGATTGTCAATATATTACATTTACAGTACAATTATCTTATTTTGAAAATCTTTGTGGTAAAAAGTAGTTTATTTTGTCAAATGGATAAATGTTTTTTTAGATTATTCAGTTGATTGTGAAGGCTTTCGTTCTTATTTGTACTTGAAAGAATGTTTGCAATTCAATAGATAATTTCTTTTAAAAACATTTGTGCAATGAAAGAGCATTTCAAGCTTTAAGGTTATAATTAGAACAATTGAAAGAGAAGACATGATAGGCAATAAGGTAAATTGTAATGCTTTTGTAGAAGTACTAATTTAAAACAAATGAAAGTATTTTGCAATTAAGAATTAGAAATGCATCAAAATGCAATTTTTTTTGACTTGAACAAAAAAATCTAGTATTATAAATTAGTCTTTTGGTTATACATATGAATTCATTGAAATTGACTTTAAATTATAAAACTACTATTAAGAATATCAAAATGTAAATATAAATATGAATGTATGTTTGTGTGTATATAAAAATATATATATATATATATATATATATAAATAAATAAAAGAGTAACTATTATAAGATATATAAATAATATTAATTTCTAAGAATTTTTACAAAATTGTGAAGGATACAAAAAATCTTGTGCTTAGTGATACAACACTTAAAAAAAATTCAAAAGTATATAATTAAAAAAAATATATATTCAAAAAATTTAAAGGAAAGAAAAAAAAATTACTCTTTATATTATTTCTTGCAAGATTTAATGTATACAATCCTCTCTCTTGTTTGTGCTTACTTATATGATTTTTTTTTTTTAAATCCTAATTTTATAGAAAATAAGATATTATGGAGTTTTTGAATGACGTTTAATTTAATACATGGATGCATGTATATATGTATATAAAGTAAATTTAGACAAAAAAAAATTATTACAAATTTTTGAGAAACTCAATTGTCTATTAATTTGATGTGTTTTATAGTTAAATTGCCTTTAATCAGTAAAATGAAACAACATATAATATCCAATGCAACAAAATTTACACCCCAATTGTAGAAGTTTCAATCTTGTGTCACTTGTTAGTGCTTTGTGGCCACACAGCAAATGCAATATTAACACAAAAGAATTGTAGAGTGAAGATGGCCAATTTTAGAAAACAGATACCCAGCTTGCACTCTGATTTTTATACCTCGTCCATCCGTCATCCTTGAGTCTTTACAAACATAAATATTGACTGGTTACCTTACCTTTTGTGAATAGTTTATTGATGGACTACCATATGCTGGGAGCCCCTAAAATATTAGTAGGAAAGATGTAGGTTAGAATTTTGTGGTCATATATATATATATATATTGGGTTAAAGATTTAAGTTTTACAAGATGTTCTTATGCAAAAAGCCATTAAGATTTTTTGCGGAACATGGCCTCCTCAAGCGTGCCACTTTAGATTCTTCAGACTGCTCTGACCGGCTGCCCGGCTCTAGAGTTGGCTCCGCTGCCCGGTGTGAATGGGACCCCATGCCTCAACGAAGCATCTTGTCAGCAGCATGCGCGGGGGGGGGGGGTTGTCCGGAGAGGAAATGCCACCCTTTATCCAGATGATGGGAACCAAGCTTGCCCATCAGTGGAATGCAAGAAGATTCCCTGATTCCGGAATCTGTTCCTATGAAGTGCCCGACCCCTGCTGAACCTCCGTTCCCGCCTTCATGCATCGTGGTTGCATAACAGCCATGGAGATAGCTGCCTTTTACATGGAGCCTTGCAACCCACAAGCTGCGTGGGGAACGTGGGGAGCTTGAGCGTTTCCACGCTGCGGTGAATCGTTCCCATCTCTTTTCACTTTTCCTGCTCGACGTGCTTTTTCCTTTTTCCACTCACTTTTTCCCCTAATTCCGGCCACGTTCTCTCTCTCTCTCTCTCTCTTTTTCTTTACATATACATATATTTTTGTTTGAGACGAAGGTGGTGGTGAGATTTGAAGTCCAATGAGGCTTTCTGTCAAAATACACATAAATACATCATTGACCTAATCCAGGAGTTATTATTACTATTATTATTATTATTATATTTGTTTATTATTTGCCTTGGCATGACCTTCATTATTACCGACAAAAGTTGGAATGGAGGGGGGGGGTTTGGCAAATAGCTCAGGATAAGCAGGCCATGACTACATTTCTTAGGAGCAGGACAAATAAGTAGACATACTCCTAAACCTCATTCTCCACATGATTGGAGCCCCATAGCTCTAATTTATATTTGCTGCAGCTCAGAGATTCATGGAGATCACTAGCGCTATTCAATGCTGGACGGATGGATAGATGGATGGATGGCCTCAAGCTCATTTTGAATGAATGTATATGAATGGACGAATGAAGTTGAATTGTATATGATTCTTACTTTCTTAATTAGATGTAAAGTTTGACAAGGTTGTCAAGTAGCACCTTACATGTTTTTAATAGTAAGAGAGACTTTCTATAGTTAAATAAAAAATGAATAGATACATGGCCACATAAAGGGAGTATACGTGAAATAGAACTAGTCTATCTCAAAAATCTAAGATCTTTCTAATCTACATCAATATAAAGTTTCATCATAAAATAGGACAAAACAGATGTGAACAAAATTGAATGGAGCTAAATAAAATAGGTGCCAGGGACATGAATCTCAAAGAAAGAGAATCTTCAATATACTCTTATGTTACTAAAGAAAACTAAAAAGTCACTCAAAAAGTAATATAATATTAACTAGAATGGCTATTGTCAAAAACAAGAAGACTAGAAAGTCTTGAAACAAGACTAAGAACTAGAACAGTGTTGATAAGAGTGAAGAAGGCTTCACTCTTGCCTCCATATATACTCTTAACTAGGAGCTATGTAGCAATGTCCTATAGGTCCTCCAAAACATGTTGACTTTGCTAGACATATGTCTTAACTTACAAGACAAAGTCATTTATATATGTGTCACATGGTTAGCTTGTTCTATAAGCTAATATGTGGAGTTAACTTGTTCTATAAGCTACCAACACGTAGTTAATTTGTTGGCCAAATTTCTGACTTACAAATACATCTCAAGTCAAAACCACATCTATAAAGCTTCTAGGAAGCTTTACTAAAAGACTTTAGGAAATTAATCTATGTTTATCTACTTCTATGTAATCATATAAGTAATTATTAAAGTAAATATATATATATCCATGACATAACTGTCACGGACACAGAATACAGACTTGATATCTACCAAGAAGTTCAAGAAGAACTGATAAGAACTAGATTAATCATATGAATATAAGAACAACACCAAAGAGGTGAGCTAGAGCTCCAAGAGATGTGTTGTCGAGACTGAAGAACTCTTCAGCCTCGATTCCAATATATATTCCTATTTAGAAAGCTTCTCAAGCAACTTCTACCAACTAAAAAGCTTCTAGAAGGTTCCAAAGACTTGCTTCTAGAAGGTTCTAGAAATTTATCTCTAGAAGGTTCTAAGGACTATGTCCCTAACATCTTCTACCAACTAACAAGCTTTTAGAAGGTCCCAGAGACTTACTTCTAGAAGGTTCTAAGGACTATGTCCCTAACATCACCCCCTCCTTTAGCTTTGAGGTCTCTGAGAAGTAATGTTGTTGTCAATCAGTACCAATGCAAGAAAATGAAGATCTGTCACATAACGTCTGCTATGAACTCCAACTGTTGTTTACGAGGTAAGTGGTTCATTAGCCCTTGAAGCCAACGGTAGTGGTCCACTCCTTCAACTTCTGACCAAGCATGAACTTCAGTGTCTTCATTGTGAAATTGTCCTGCAAATATGCCTTCTAGTTGACCATCGTAAGCAGACTCGGACTCAAATACAATCACCAGTGATCGGTTACTTGGTATCCTCCGTCATCGTCGTGGTGCAGGTGGTTCTTCATCTTGGATTTGCCTTCGTGAACTAGTTGGTTGAGATAATCTGACTGGCATAGTATCTATCTCTTAGCTATCCTTATCAGAAGACCAAACTATGGCTATTGAAAAAAATTCTATTTTAACTTGGAGAAAATAACTACATCAACTACGAATTTTGGTGGTGCTCTCCTCCTTTCTTATATTCTTGGGTGAGCAAGCTTCAGAAAGAAGCTATTGTCGAATCGGCTTAGGTTTATGAGGATGTTGTTGATGAAACTCCTGTACCTTTTGCGATGCATTGGTGAGATTTTCAACTGGCTCCCACGTTCACTCATTAATATCGTAGCCGCACCAATGAACAAGATATTCCAACTTGCCCCACCTTTGCCAAGAATCCAGTACCTTTTCAACCTCATATTCCTCGTGGTTCTCGATCTCAATACTAGGTGGCAGACATTGCACTCTTCCAGGAAAAGATGACTCTCAATAAGGCTCTAACAAAGAAACATGAAAGACTGGATGTACCTTCATAGAAGCCAGTAATTCCAAACGGTATGCCACTAGATTGATTTGCTTTTGGATGATAAATGGTCCCGAACTTTGATAGTCCAACTTATCACATGGTCGCTTGGTCTTAATATTCCATCGAAGAAACCATGCTTTATCTCCAATTTTGAAAGTAGGTGCTTGATTCCGAAATCTATCTGCAGATGCCTTCTAGGATTCTTGAGCGGATTGTAATTGAAGCTTCAACGTATTTTGAAGCTCTAATA